CGAGGAAAACCAAAATTGCTAAATAAAGCTACAAAATGAGATATAGTTTCTTTAGAGCTTGTTGATCTGACTGGTCTGACCCAGGTATACCTGGTAAAGCTATCAATTATTACCAAAATATAAAGGTGTAGTAAAAAAAATTCATTATTTTTCCAATAGATGGCTTTAGTAATGTGTATCTCGCGTTGTATAAGTGCGATCGGTTTACGCTAGATGGCGTTAGAAAGATAAGATTTTGTACTAAAAAAAACTTCTCAGACAGTTTTGTGATTGTTTGACTCAGTATTGTTTGAGCGCGCGTCAAAAATGGACACCAGCAAAGAGAAAATACGCCATATTTTACAGTTTTTCTTCGATAAAAGCAAAAACGCAAGCCAGGCGGCTGAAAATGTGAATAGTGTTTATGGTCCTGATACTGTAACAACCAATCACGCGCAATTTTGGTTTCGTCGATTCCGTTCCGGTAATTTTGATGTCAAAGATACACCACGCTCTGGAAGGCCAATTGTTGAAAATGTCGATAAAATAATGGAAATCGTCGAGTCCGACCGTCATGTAAGCACTGTTTCGATTGCCCAGGAGCTAAACATTGCACAAAAAACCGTTTGGAACCACTTGAATAAGGCTGGATACAAAAAGAAGCTCGATGTATGGATGCCACACGAGTTAACGCAAAAAAACCTCACGGACCGAATTTCCATCTGCGAATCGTTGCTGAATCGCAACAAAATCGACCCATTTCTGCAGCGGATGGTGACTGGTGATGAAAAGTGGGTCACTTACGACAACGTCAAGCGAAAATGGTCGTGGTGAAAACACGGTGAGCCGGCGCTACCGGTGGCCAAGCCAGGATTGACGGTCAGGAAAACTTTGCTGTGTGTTTGGTGGGATTGGCAGGGAATCATCCACTATGAGCTGCTCCCCTACGGCCAAACTCTTAATTCGGACCTGTACTGTCAACAATTGGACCGTCTAAAGGAATCAATCGCCCAGAAGCGGCCAACTTTGGCCAATAGGAGAGGAATTGTGTTCCATCAGGACAACGCCAGGCTATACACATCGATAGTGACTCGCCAGAAGCTCCGGGAGCTTGGTTGGGAGGTTCTTATGCATCCACCTTATAGTCCGGATCTGGCACCAAGTGATTACCACCTGTTCCTGTCTATGGCGAATGATTTTGCTGGTGAAAAATTCGCCTCAAAGGAAGCTTGTGAAAATCGACTGTCCCAGTTTTTTTGCCAATAGGGACAAGGGTTTCTATGAGAGAGGCGTAATGGAATTACCTTCAAAATGGTAACAAGTTATCGAACAAAACGGTGCATATTTGACCTAAATCGGATCATTCTAACTATGCTAAATAAAGCCTTCAATTTCATGCAAAAATAATGGATTTCTTTTTACTACACCTTATATTTGAATCCCCCATTAGATTTCACAAGGGGTCCAAAATGGTCGGTATGTAATGCCTGGAAAGGAACTTTCGGAGGTTCGACCTCCTGGATCTCTCCCTCTTTCGAATTTGTAGAATACGATGACATCAAACACGTTAAACAGTTGTCGATATATTCCTGAATCTTCCTGCGCATTGTCGGGAGTAATTGGAATAGATATCTTGGTGAGTTTTATCGAAGTCACAATGATCTACATTATCATGGTAAATTCTTAAAATATTTTGAACTATGGACTTAGGAACAATAAAACGCGGTTTATCTTGCAATTTTCTATACACTAAACCATTAATCAGGTTGTATTTATCATGTTCTGACTTTTCTAGAAATTGAGCAATAGATTTTAAATTTGGATCTTGTAATTGTCGATACTCCAGAAGTTTTTCTAAAGGCATTTGATCAACATAAGCTACAGCTCTGCTCAAAGCATCGACATGCGTCATTTTATGTCCTGCACGATGCTGTACTTTGAAATTATAATTTTGTAAGCGAAAAATCCAGCGCGCAATGCGAGGATTTAGGTGTGCGATTTTAAGTGCATACACTAAAGCATGACAATCCGTGACCACCGTGAACGGCAAACCATACAGGTAAATATGAAACTTCTCGATTGCTTTGACCACTGCGAGCATCTTCAGTTTGAAGCTATGGTATTTGCTCTCTGCTTGGTTAGTGGCTTGACTGAAATAAGCAACCGGGGACCACGAACCCGAAATTTGTTTTTGTAATAGAATTGCAGCTAGAGCGACAGCGCTCGCGTCTGTATGGAGCTCAGTGTTCAACTGCGGATTATAAATTCTTAGGACTGGATAAACTGTTAACTTCTTCTTTAAAGTGTTGAAAGATTTAATACAATTTTCATCGAATCTAAAGTTAACATTTTTATGTAGCAGATTATGCAACGGTTTTATAATAGCGTAATTTGGAGTGAATTTACGAAAGTAATTCGTAAGACCTAAAAACCGTTGAGTCTCTATCATGTTCGACGGAACCGGAAATTTACCCACAGCTTCTACGTGATTACTCAGAGTTATCCCATCAGTCGAAATTACGTAACCTAAGTAATCAATTTTTTTTTTGAGAAATTGACATCTCTTAATATTTAATTGGAAATCATATTTTTTAAGAATTAGCATAACTTGCTTCAATGCTACAAGATTTTCATCAACCGTTTGTGAAGGAACTAGAATGTCGTCAATGTATACTATGACTTTATTTTCCCTGATCATAGGTTGCAAAATTTGAACCAGTCGCTTTTGGAACTCGGCCGATGCTTCGCAGAAACCAAAAGGAAGTCTAGTGTACTCAAACTGCCCATCGGGAGTAGCAAACGAGAAAAACTTCATATGGTCCGGGTGAAACTTAATTTGGTGGAACCCATCCTTCAAATATAACAACGAGAAAACAGACTTATTCCCCAACCGGGCTAGACAGTCTTCTATCAAGGGAAAAGGATATTTTTGCTTCACAACGCGATCATTCAACGGACGTAAATCCACGCAGAGACGAAGCGAACCGTCTTTCTTACGAACCGGTACAACTCTTGCACAGTAAGGAGAGTTACTGTAACGTATGATTCCCCGTTCGAGCAAATCATTGGTAATTTGTCTAATTTGTATTCGTTCCACCCAAGCAAATCGTCTTGGGGCGTATGCAAAAGTTGAATCATCTTTTAATGCTACTTTAACGAAGTAATCGTCTTGAGTATTCTTTTCTATTTTTGTTTCATTAACTGAGTTCATCGTTTCGATTAACTTTTGTTTAGTATTAATATCAAAATCAATTTGTATGTCAGACGCGTCGATACAGAAAATATTACCCGAAAGGTCTAAAGTATCAGCGGAAGCCACTTCAGAGAATAATTGTAGTTTTAAATCTGGGTTATCCGTTGTAGGTGTATAAAGAACCGAAATATGATTATCCTTGATAAAATCACGACCGAGGATGACATCTGTAGGTCATAACTCATTATCTAGAATTCTAAAAGAGACGGAAGCTAGATAATCTGAGAGTAATTTTAGTCTCAGTTCCGTTTGTACTGACCCAATGATAGGAATAGTCATATTATTTATTGTCGTTAACGAGGTATTCATAGGCGGTTAAAATAAGCATACCGGCGGCTTCGTATCCCGATTTATTAGATTCCGGATATACTCCATGCGGAATGAACGCCCACATAAAACGTTACAGCGTTTCTCAAGACACACATACATTCTCACACGTGTCAAATATATTTGTTTATCGAACTGGTCTCAAGGATATTGACTAAATAATGATCTCGATTCTTTTTTTTTCTTTTTTAGTAATATGTAGGAAACATCATGAAAAATGTTGATGTATTCTCACGAGATTGTCATGAAGCTACAAGAGAAAGACATATATAAATCTCGTAGAAATTATTATACGGAGAGAATATTTTTCTTCATATAAATTCTTCTTTTCATATAAATTCTTTACAATTTCAATGTTTTTAATAATCCAGCGAATGGATTAAAATTCTCGCCAAAAAGTTTATTAAATATTGATAATTTAATGAAAGAAACCGGACTACCAGTGTCCAGCAAAGCGCTGAAAGACATCCAGAGACATTATTGATCGACAAAACATGTACCACAGTATCACTTATCTCTAGCTTCCGACTACCGGAGTCAACGCATGATACTGCAGCGGATGTTTCCCTATCTTCCAGTGTCGAAGATGATGATGCAGGCGCAGCCATGGCAGCGACAGGAACAGGTTTATTGAAGTATCCTGCTGTTGTGACTGCTCCTTCCTCTTCAATTTGTAACACTCGGTCCAAATGTGTCCCTTTGCCTTGCAGTACACACAAAAGCTGTCCTTGTTCGGCTTCTTGGATAAATTAATCTTTGATGAAGCATGGTTCAAAATTTTGGACTTGTCGTCCATAGAAACGTACGATTTACTATGTATTTCAGTGTTCATCACGGCAATACGGTGCATTTCCCGTAGAAATTCATCAATAGAATTGATACGTAAGGCTAAAGCTGTATTTCTGAGGCTGAAATTGTTAATTCCATTAATCAGAAATAAAATTGAGTCTTCTTCTGACAATTTCAGACGATGCATTAAAGCCAATTTGTCATGGGCATACTCCATAAAAATTCCTTGGAAAAATTCCATTTTCTTGCTTCCACTCGTTGCATGATAACGTGAAATGGAATTGAGCGTTGAAAGCAACTTAGAATAGCTGCTCGAAAATTTTGCCACGATTCGTTGGCAGGTCCCATTGCTAAATCATACAATTTCTTAGCAAAGAACCCCGCACAAAACCTTTGAAAAATGGTTTTCGGTCAAATTGGCTAAAATTTCACTATGTTATAATTTCACTATGTTTTCGCCATGCTGATAAAAAGTTATCATTGCACCAAGTCCCAAAAGTCAATATTTCCCAAGATATAAAGGGTCAAAGTAGTGAAATATGGTCATCCGCAGTAGTAAGACGTATGTTATAAGTATAAGTGATACATTGATATTTATTCACTAAATAAATAAAAATCGATTTTTACACACACACACACACACACACACACATATATATATATATATATATATATATATATATATATATGTAATAAATAAATATTGAACATGCGAACCAGCCAGCTAAGGCAAGACCGAGGGTTGTGTATCAAACCATCAATGAGTTCCTATAAGAGGTGATGCAATCGATATCCTGAGGGATTTTGTCTTCGATTATACTATTCTTGTGGACGATTTCCAGCATCTTGCACACTCTGAATGAGACTTGCAGAAGGATAGTGAATATTTTCCTGATGTCTTGCATATCCTATGTACCATATAACACTGGCAATATGTGCACAGGTGCCGACAGTTCGAGCGCCACATTTGCAAGTATTAGGACCTTAACTTAGTTTCCGCCCAAAAAATACTGAGAAAAAGCATTTATTGTAAAAAATTTATTTAAATTATTTCAATGAAAGTATTTTCCATCACTTTCTACAACTTTTTGCCATCTTTCTGGCAACTGGGCGATACCATCTCGATAAAACGATGTTTGTTTCGAAGC